TCAAGTATAGACTGTTCTATAATGCAGCAGCTAACCTAAAGTATCACATTGTACCTGTAAAACACTCAACTTGAATGTTTTTAAACAGGAGGTCCAGTTAAAAATGTAAGCAGAACTAAATCTGAATAGCTGTTTGTGTCGGTTATTTTAGTTTCCTTTCTGCCTTTGAACCAGAGAGCGCAAGGGTCAGAGTGAAGATTTGCTGCTTTGGAAGTTAAACATTCACTAATTTTTAATGTGTTTTCCTTTTGCATTGCAGTCTCTGTCCAGGCTTGGTTTTGGCATCAGCAAGATTTCCTCCCCACCCATTACAAAATAAAAATAGATGCTAAATGCCCCAGGACACATTAAGGCCTAATGTTTTTAAGGTGTACATTGCTGATATTCAACTGCCAATGCCAAACTGCTACGGTTTTTAAAATAAATCTGAACACCTTTAAAATAAGATCTAGTTCACACAACAAGATACTATTTGGGGTATATATTAAAGCAGTATCAAAAAAACCTTTTGTCTCAAATTTTCATCTCAGTTTTTCAGAAAAATGTAATAAACAGTTGGTGCTACATACTGAGGTTTTATAACTTAAACAATGGTAGGTGGCATACAGATTCACAAATTGTACTAATTTCCTAATTTAGGCACATGAAAATGCATGCTTTTATTTATGATCCTAAAAAGAAAAAATAGTAGTAAATGATATTTAAAATGCATCTATAAAAAAAAAAAAAAAAAAAAAAAATCACTTGACCTCAGGAGCTGAATTTTTAATAGCCAATGCAGTGTAGTTTTATTTCACTTTAAGTACTGATGAAGGGCGTGTGGCAACTATCAGCTCTCAAAACATGATGCATCTTATTCATATTTGTACTTTATGTAAACTAATGAAATTACAGGGCTTGCATTTGACATCATATATGTCAAAATGGATTTGTCACATACCTCAAAAAGTGTTTAAGTACTATATTCTAATGCCAAAAACTGAAAAAGAGGACTTCTTCCATACAAACAAACATTCCCAGGACCTGATATATGCTACTTTGGGCTGCAAGAAGACAGCAGTGTGAATGTAGCATTTCAAACAGCTCTTATACAGAATGTGCTTTGATTGGTAGATTAATAACCTCAAAAGCCCAACAGCATTTTTAAGAATTTTTAGTTTGCATAGACAATGGACACTATTCTCTAATAAGCTTTAGGCTAGTATCTGATTAAATGTTTAAATACATATGGAAAAGCGAGTGTCATTTAGCCACATTAGTAAAAATACTGGAGTTTAATCTGATTAGAAGTATAACATTTTAAACAAGCTCCTAAATCATAAAAACAATAGTGGGGGGGAAGGGTCGTTTGCTTGGGGGTTTTTTAAAGAAGACTTTCAAAATGTCTAGCAAAACCCACAGAAAAATTCTTTCCTACTCCTGGAGAAATAGTGAACCTACTGTTTAAAAAAAGACCCACAGACTGGGTTTCCTTAACTTCAGTTTGACTGCCCTCTCTTCAATTAGAATTGTTAACTACATCAACTATTTTCTTATATAGGTATTCAAAAGAGGGTGGGCAGCACAAGAAGAGTAACAGAATTGAAGGCATGCAAGTAAAGAAATTTTTGTAATCCTGTAGTAGTAATAGTTTCAGTTACATGGGCTTTACTAGCCATTTTACTATTTTGGGTTTAACCTATCCTTCTATTTAAATCAGTTATTTCCTAACTTAATGTATAAAAGCCATTTCAATGATTAAATTCCTACAGATGAACACTGGGGTATCTTTGAGATGCAAAAATATTAAGCTTTGGGTTTTAATTTGATAAGATGTGGATAATATTATATGTAAGAGCATACTCTAACTGGCTCAGATCAATCTTCATCTTGCATTGAATCATTTCACTTAATGTGTGCTGGGACTCTCCTGCTACTAGTCCCTGAAGCTGACGTTTTCAACAACCCGCTTCAATCAGGATTCCCCATCTTCTTTCTGCAAGCAGATATACACATTCCTATCTCCCACCTCCCCTCACAAATTCATAAGGTTCACTGAACCATTACCTTAAGTTTTCTGGAAAAATCTTAGCTGAACTCTTGACAGCATGTCAATGTAATCCTGAATGTCAGAACCCTCATTTGAAGGGCACCACCACACTGGAGAGGCATCCTGTCCCTGAGCTTAGAGTTTAGGACCATATGAGGCATCATATAAGAGAAGCTTAACCTCATGCTGAACTGAAAACTTTTTTTCTTTTGCATTTTGTATTGCAAACAGCAGCAACTGTGCACTATACCTAAAAAAAGAGTTCATTCTGTAGTCCTTAATCAGGCAAAATTCCCATGAAGACGTGTGAGATCAGACCCACCCACTTTTTCACTTTTCAGCCAGTTCAATTGTTTAACTATGTAGGCCTCAACTGGGTACGTGCTATAAACCTTCTGGTTAAACTACCAACCAGTTGGCAGTTGGATTGGCCAGGAGTCATATGATACCGAGTTAAAACACAGATGCCACAGCATATTTAGGACAAAGTTATGCTTTCATCTTAATGCAGCCCTAAGTGCTGCACATTTCTTTGCTCTTATGCTACGTTCTTAGGATCAGCCACAACATAAGACGGGGGGAAAAAGGCAGAAATAATAATTAATTAAAACACAACTAAATATCAGCAGACAACACATATAAAACTACTGGGTGGAAACAAAAGGGATTCTTGTAATTGCCTTTGTTAAAAGAAAGGCTGCTTAAGAAAAGCATAATTATAGATTTATAAAAGTTATACTCTAGATAAAGTATGCAAACATAGGGTTTGTGTTTCATGGGAGAGTCATCTATTTCAGTGGAGGGCTGTGGTTACTACATGCTCATTTTCCTGTATATTTCTTTATTCATCCATAATCTGTACGCTTGGTGCATAAAAAACTGGGAAGCTGAACATTAAACATGAAAATGGACTCAAGCATTTCTTTTTATAAAAATAATATACATTATTTTTAAGCTAAGAAGACCTTGCATAAAGAGAGCAGATCCTATATTGCTGGAAAGGTAGACTGAATGATCTAGTAAGACCTTTTTTGTCTCTAGCTTCTACCACTCTGATCTGTAATGGGCACTACACAAGTCCTACCCAGACTTTAATCTACACAAGTCTCACCTTCAGTAAGTCAATGAAGAAAAGGGAGGAAAAATTCAAACTAACCCAGTTTTATAGGAAGTGACCAAGAAAGACAGGAAGTTACAAAGGAACTGCAGAAAAGTTCCCAAATTTGGAAAAAAAAATCCTTAAACAGAGAATCTCATGATTGTCAAAGGAATCTCATCTGCAGAAACTTTTTCATGTAACTTTCAGTAAAGATTAGGATTGTGGCATTTTGCTCTTGAAATCACAGTATTATTATAACAGGTACAGACCATGTTCTAACACTGCAAGGTATAAGGAAATTAATTCAAGAATGTTGTGCTAAAACCAAAATTTTGAAGAGGTTGCAAGTTAATCACCATAAAAAGTGTCATTTGCTTTATTACAAGTTCCAAACTGTTTAGCCCTGAAATTGGCAGGGCTTAGTTCACGTGCCCATACAAGTTAAAATACAGAAATTTCACCAATGTGGAAAAAAGAATGGGACTTAGTTTATAGGGAAATTACCAGCCCTTTAGTTCTAAAGGTCACCTCCAGTGGGTAATGGTATACTCAACCATTAAACATCTACATATCCCAATGCTACCTTTTCAAACTACAGATGACAATTTTCCACTATAAACCTGAATGTGGAAATTTCATTACAGATATTCCCAGTTGACTTGTAACAATGGAAAGTAAATGTTGTAGGAATCTTATTTAAATTAAAATTGTATTTCAAGCCTATATGATGGTGAAACCAAATTAAAAAAATCTGTTTCTCAAAACACCAAGATCCCAAATCTGCATTCCTTAGGCACACTAAACTCCCAGGAAAACCAATGTGGGTTTTGGGTAGATAAGAATAGACGATTAAGCCCTACTAATCTTACGGCATGAGTAAAATGGGATAGAAGTATATCTTCTTCCCTGCACAGTGATGGAGACGAAAGTATGGCATGAGTTGCAAATGAGTCTTGCTGACAGAAAAGTTTTCCAATAGATCTATTTTTTCTGCCCTCCTGACACAGGGCGGGGGGTGTCTAAGGGGAGGGAGAACTAAGAGGCGCCTGTCTTAATTTTGCTTTTTACCCTTGCCAATGAGAGATTAATAAAACTCCAGCATAACTGAAAAATCCTTTAGTTAGGATTTCTTATTTTATATTTACAGAAAATGTATGCTCACTGCCTCTCACATACTCTCAATAATGTATATAATGTTTCACTGCTTCTCCAGCAAAATGTTAGCATGGTTCTAGGAAAGTTTCCATGGGTTGCATTAACAATGAACTTTAGTCACAGTATTGTCCACTGATTCTGGGTACAAATGTTTAATACTGATTATGCTCACATGCATAAAGTGTTCAGCCAATTTTGGTCAGTGTTGGTGTAGTGCCTCTCAACTTACCACCCTCTTTAATTTGGATTATTACTGACATAACCCAAAAGTTGCAGGAAGCTGAGGCAGCCTTGTCTGCAAACAGAACATGACATTAATAGAGATTATTAATTTGAAGACATATAACATACATTTTTGTAAACATTAGCATGAAGAGGCCATGAGTTAGCATGGCCTTCAGGTACTAATATTTAATCCCAGCATGCCTCCCTTATTAGCACAATTAATAACAAAGCAGTCTTAAAATTCAGAAGTGATGTTTTAGCTAAGTAGGGTGGTTTAAGAAAAAACCTAAGTTGCAAACATGACTATTTTGAGCTTTCAAAATACCATTCTCAAGGCTGTAACGATGAGAAGATAGATAACAGCAGTATGGGAATACTGAATTAATGTCATACAGCTTGCTCACGACAATGCAAGGACAGTAACACTACAAAGACTTAGGATTTTTGATATGGGTGAAAGGAGAAAAAAAAAGGATTATAATATAGTTTGGCTCATTGCTGAAAATTATTTCTAATTTAGGTCTACAGCCTATCCATACAGAGTTCAGTGTACTGAGACATGAAAAGTAACTTCATTTTTTTTCAGTGCAGAGAGCCCTAAACAAACTTTGTCCTTCATTCTCTAAACTCAAAGCAGCGGTATTTCAAGGTCACTTGCTGAGGGAAGGCCCTGCTCCAGCAACTTTGACTGCAGCACTTCTCCAAATGCCGGAGCAATAAAAATAAATAAATAAATCTGGAATACAAATCTTTATCTGGTGGACTAAGCAAACCCTTTCCACTGGAAAACTTCTAAAGCGCACTCTCATTCTCTTTCCATAGCTGTCCTTCACAGGACTACAGTTCCTGTCTGAGACTGCTTTACTGCAGGAACGTTCCAATGACCTTCATTCCTTAATTGCAAATAAAAAGGAAAACAAAGGGTTGCTTATGTTTCTCAAATATTTTGTTCATGTTTGTAAAAGGGATCCAAAGCTTCAGAACCCACAAAAACGGAATAGTTCCCAACTAGAAACCCACGTACAGCTGTTAGGCTCTACATTCCCTAGACTAAAAATCTGGCATTATCTGCAAGGGCAACACAACATGCTGCACCTTCTCTAACTTTCACACACCAATAAAATGTAAGAATAGAATAATTCTGAGAGCATGATATATGAAGTGATGAGCTATTCTTGTACTACACATCATATGAAAAGTTAACTTAGCTATCTTGATAAAACATATGATTTGCAGGATTAATATATATCCTGAATGTGCTTGAAAAAAATCTGGGGTGAGAAGGAAGATAGCAGAATTATACCCATTATTATATGTCCATTTTAAAGCAACAGTACTGCTGGTGGGTAAAGTTACACAAGAATTTAACTTTATGATGCAGGGCCTTAAGCATGAAATCCTACTGTACAGCAAGGCATGTTTTTAAACAAATCTGCAACAATATTACAGGTACTCTATGCATCTATATAAACAGAGGCTATTGGATAGTGGGGTAAAACCACTTAAAATTACATTTTGGTTTATATGAAAGCTTCAGTGCACTTAAACAAAGAAAAAATACTCTGAAAAATAGTTCAAGCTTTTAACCAACATATGCAGGGCAAAGAATAAGTATTTTATCACTGTATTTCTTTGCAAATTAACATCTTTCTCGTTTCATCTTCTCTTACCTCTACTGAATTATCAAAAGAAACAGTTGAAGGGCATGCAAAATCCAAACAGAACAAGGTACAGTAGGTGCACTTTAAGGTATGCAAGGAATGTAAAGTGGCCATTTTCTGAGACAGTCCAACTTAACTACTCTAGCTGCTAAACTAGACAGCTTCTAGGATTTCTACATAAACAAAAATTAAACTTACCAGGAACTGCATTAATTTTACATGCAAATAATTATGCTTCTCCAGACAGGGAGAATTTAGTCATTCCTAGCCCTCCCCCACAAAAAAGGAGGAAGAAACAAAGGCAGCAGGAGATGCAGAAAAATGGTTCAGGAATGTCCACTGCAGTGCAAAACCGAACAGCTGCCCTCCCAGCAAACTATTCGCCATTTTTCTTTGTCTTTCAGCTGACCCCTGCCTCAGTGAAAAACTCCCGAGTCTCCAATGAAACACTGTGCAGCCTCCTTCCACTTTAACAGTCAAAGACATTCAATCTAGCATGCTATTTGACACCGAACCTTGCCTCCGCTGCTTGCTCATTGGCTGCGTTCCTTTATCTGCGAAGATCACAACACCCGGATTGGCTGCTTGTGTCATCACTAACCTCCTTTGTACACTTCCTGTTTTAAAGTTACCTTGAGATGCAGAACAGGGGTCAGACACAGACTTCAAACTAGAAGGAAACTTGTGTACAGAAATATTTAGCAAATACACGCCACCCAAAAAACAGATAAGATATTGGTGTCTGAGGCAGTCTCCCTTGCATATTTGACAGTTTTCCTGACATTTCAACATAGTCTTAATATCTCCCACCCCTAGCATCTCTTATTGGCTGCCTGGAGTTCCATTTTTTAAAAATAATTAGGGTAATTTAGCTGCTTGTGATTGGTCAGACAAATTGCCTGTATAATGCTGGTACAAGACCCTATAGCAGTTAATCTGAAAAGACAGTAAGCACAAATTGGAAAGTTACTGTGTGAAAAACCCCTAGGCTTTTTGTCATCATAAGACAGAAAAAGCCAGCCAGAGGCAATTAAACAACTTTAAAGTTAGCAGAATTGTAGCAGAACAGAAGTAATCTCTTCAAGACCTAATCTTGACTATCTGCACAAAGACCTGCTGGAGGTTTTCAAAAAGCCTCTCTCATTCTAATCAATTCTATTAAAAAAAAATTAAGAGAACTTTAAAACTGCAGTTATGCACTCGAGTCACGAGATGTCATCCAGAGTTTGAATATGGCCCACTGAAACTGCTCCCTGTTTTTGTGAAGAACTACATCTTAATGCATACATGTGGTTATATGCTGTAGTATTTGAGAAATCGGACAAAGGTTTTTCTAAAAAACTTAAGTATGCTCCAGGGTCTTGAAAGCGCTTTTCAAGAAATGAGCGTTAACTGCAGAGTTAAATTAGATGAAAACACAGATAATTCATCTGTGTCAGTAAATGTTCACTGATGCATGTCTGCGGTTAAAATAAATATTTTACACAACTTACTAAGTAAAGTTCGCTATGTCCCTTCGCTAATGATTTTAGTTTACTAAGTGGCAGACACACTGCAATAGCACCCAGTACCAGAGTAGGCCACACATCTCCATTTCCCAAATTTAGTGTTAACTGACAGTATTCACTTATACCACAGAATGCCTCATCTCAGTGGGGGCTAACTTTTTTGGCAGGCTAAGAGTAAGGTAAGCCCTGCATCCTCCCCAATTACCACTCTGATCCCCTTCCCTTCCCCAATCTATTGCTCTGCTTTCTGCCTTGTCGCTGTGTTCCCCAATCTGCCACATGCTGCACACAGGGGTTACATGCAACTTGTGGCATGTGTGCTGCAGGTTGGCCACCCCTGCCTTATCTCATGAACCTGATGAAGACCAGAGTAGGAAGCTCCTACACACTTACTAGGTTTATAAGATTTACGTTATTGTGCATTCAGCTGAATGGCAGGAGTGGTGCCAATTTTACTTCCATGACACAAGCACCTTAAGTTCTCCGAAGGATGAGAGCAAGGCCTCCATAGTACCTGCCATGTTACCATCGTACCATACAAAATTCTTCATGAACAAAGTAAAAAATAAACAAGGAACCTTTTCTATCCCCTCCGCATGAAATACCTCATCATGCAGCTCTTGACCACACTCACATGTGCAGTGACCTTCTTTAGCTTTCCAGTTTTCAGTTGTACAGCCATTAAGTGTTCTAAACTTGCTCAGTATTTCAGTTTTCAAAGGCTCTGAAGGCAACCACATCAATGTTATTTCTTCACAGCAGAATACTAATAACTGCTCAACTGTCAACAAATTGTCTCTCTATACCTGATTTCAAGTGTCTACTTTCAGCCATTCCTGTTCAAAATAGAGGTTCCAACTACTGTTTTGAAAACAGGTTTCCTCCTAACGCCCCTTCTCAAACTAGTGATCTCAGACATATACATTGTTTTAAAAATGCCCTTCCTCCACAAAACACTAAATAAAATAATCACTTTAGAACAGAGAAAAACCTGGAAACCTTCAGAAAGTTAAAATCAACTGACAACAAGGACTTTGAATGGAAATCTTTACACAAATCAGGCCATGGTGACAGCTATGTTTCAAGGTCAACATTTAAAACAACAATGGGTCTGATCCAAAGCCCATTTAAGTCAACAGAAAGACTCCTTTTGACTTAAATGGGTTTTGGCTGAGACCCAAGGTTTTAATAACATGTTTATAAAATACAGTCAAAGTTGTAATACCTACACTGAGGTAGGATTGTCTTTTTGTGCTTTCACTTGGTATATACCGACATCTATTAGAGCAACGTAACTCCATTTTTCATAGTAGGATTCGAACAAACTGTATTTCAAGATGTTTTCTTACGAGAAAAAGAATATGGTGTCCATATATAACAGCAGGGAACAGCAAAATTAAGAAGCACAACAAATGCAAACACAGCACTAAAGAAAGATTCAATTAGACCCAAACAGCTGGTAAAACTAATGCACTTAGAAAAATAGTTACCTTAGTGGCTTATGAAGTATTATGATTAGTTTTAAAAGTTCAATATCTTTAAAAAAGAAAAGAAAAGAAAAGCTAATAATAGTTAGATTCTTTGCCTGTGGCACTCCATAGGCTCAGGGGATTATGTTTGATCTACTGAGCTGATTATTTGTATTGTGAAACTGTACACACAGTGGGAGTGGTTAAGCCAATGCTGAGTGCTTTTAAAAATCCCACATAAAAGCTTGTAATGGTGGATACTAAGAGACAAGGGTGTTGAACCCATGACTGGTATATGGATTATTATGCTGGCTACTGAAAGCTATCATGTTTACCAAAATTGATACAATCTGCTGAAAGGTATTTAGCTATACTATTAAAATGGACAACTGGGACCACAGAGACAAACGGATATTACAGAATCCTAATGATCGTCTTTAGCATTAAATATACAGACAATTAAATAATCTTTGGCTTTGTAACAGACTGATATGGATACCATTTGTAAAGCTGGCTTCTACAATATGAAGAACCATCCTCCAGGAAACTAAATGAAATGATCAATTCCTTCCACATGTCCTACTGAAAAAGCCATAAGATGATGGTGAAGTTACCTTTCAGACCCTGCTGGTTTGGGAAGGATTAGAACCAGCAACCGGGGAAAGAAAACATCAATATCCAAAGATCAATCTCTGTGTTGTTTTTTTTAAAGCCCACTCAAAATAAAACATGCAGCCCACCTGCGTAAAAGTATGTAGAACAAAATGAATTTAGAGATGCATCCTTGACAAACAATGAGACAAGGTAATTGTGCACAAGTGTTGGAAGGGGTAATACGGACACAAAGGGCTATACAATGAGAGAGATTTTCCCCTTCAAATTTCTCACCATTGCTCTTGACTATGTCCCTCAGCTGGTGGTGGTATTAGCAAAGAGCAGGCTGCAAGTAGCCAGCCTTTAAACAGTGTTGTCCGACTCTTTCCCAAAACACCACAGAGCTCTCTGCTTGGAACACCAGCCACTTGCAGCACCTCGCCTACATCAGTTGTCCCAGAGCTGCTACTACCGGTGAAGGCAACTGTGAGAAATGGAGAGCACAAGTGCCTAACATACCACAGTGTTAAAAACAGTATTATAGGAAGCTGAGCAGAGAAGAAAACGGACTGAATATGACTCAGAACATCTCAAGAGTGAAATCTAATCGCCCATGGAATTCCTTCTTTAGGGATCTGGTCTCGGGCGACGGAGCCTTTACAAAACAAGACTGGACAAATCAGTTTAAAATATAAAAAAAAGAATAGTGCAACGACCCATCCCACATTAGCATGAACTGGATGATCTGGGTAGAGATGGAAAAAAACCCTACAAATAGTTTTCTGTGGGTATGTTAGAAACAACTCAGAAAAATTCTGAGTTTGGTCTCATCCTACATTATTAATTACTATTCTAATGGAAGATTAAGCTCTTTAACACAAAAACTTGCTCACATTAAAACAAGAGAGGCCCAAATGACTAAGTCAGACTAACTAGCCAAAAAGGCCAGAAATACCTTAAGGTTTCGACCATTCCTAAATAAAGACAATGCAGATTTGATGTTGTATCTTAAAGGTACATAAACTACAAAGAACCAGCTCTTGCTTCAAAATCCTACATAGGTTCATTAAAGAGAAGACTTTAAAACAAGAGGTGTGTCAGGAACAGTCAACAGAACACCTGCCAAATGTACAGTTACTCAACAATATAAAACTATTTTCCTTCTGTTTAAATATAAACATTATGAACAGATTGTTCTTGGCATAAAAATGAGTTCTGAGCAGAGTAAAAAAAGTTGCATTCCCCAATCTTCACTTTTGGTGAGCAGAGATAAAAAAAAGATTGAAGTAATATCAGAAGTTTTATTTTCACGTCTGAACTGAGTCATTCACATTTTTGGCAATGTTACAAGTTTACTGCAACAGCACAATTTGCTGACTTATCTATGTATTTTGCTACCCTTTTATAAAAAACAGAAACTTACAGGTTTCATAAAAACAGTAACTTACAGGTTTCTTGTCTTTTTAAGGCTTGCTAAACAACTATGTTCTTTGAAGGTTCCAGTAACTTTAACCTGAAGCTGATTTTGAAGATGTTATATTATCCAGAAAAGGAAAGGAATGTATCCAGACTTGAACAGTTTTGTATACAGATGGCTCACGATCTGTGCTACCACCATGTTAAACCCATCTTTCTAACTATGGGTCCAGTCCCGCAAAAGTGGTAATAGTTCACAACTTTAACTGCTAGAAATGGAGTGTACAGCACCCAGAACTCGGTAAGACTAAAAGTGCACCAATATATCAGTCGCATATTGGATTGGCACTGATAAAAGGAAAATTAACATTATCGGCAACTGGTTCTTTTTGGTCGGTGTAGCCAATAATATCACCAATAAACATTGCATGCATGCACGCAGCTACGGCATGCATGCAGCCAG